GACGTCTGGTTGACTAGTACAAGGCGCGTTGGACGCCTACAAAAAAGATCATTCTAAAATAAAATTTAAAAAATCTCCATAGTTGTCCGATTCAGATCAAGCAAGTCACTGGATTTATCGAAAGAGGCGACTTATTTGCTCATCATGTTCTGTTTTCCTATAAGTGTAAATTGGTCACCTTAAAGAGTTGCTAAAGCTGAAGTTTCGAGCGTCAGCCCTTTGTCTGACGAAGGGTTAAAACTCGAAACATTAACTTTAGAAACTCTCTACAGTGGCCAATTTGTATTATTAACTCAGTTAATAAAACAAAATTAGTTTTCATCGTGGTTTTCTGCGGGAGTGGGACCTTACGAGTCATAAGAATAGTCCGCAAAGATTCAAGACCATAGTTCCAATAATAACAACTTTACAGAAAATGTTAAATTTGTTTTGTAGGCAGTTATTGTTTCCTACAGCAAACCACAACTTATAAAAAAAATAACTTTTTTTAAATGCTCTTTACCACAAGAAATCTCCCGTTCCCTTAATGCTTTAATGTTACCATAGACATTTCCATAGGGTTAGAGGTTAAAATCCAAACTCTCCGCATACGGCAACAGGAGGAAAAACAAAGACGGTTAATAACTTTCTTTCTTTCATCTCTCTCTCTCAAATTGAACTACTGAAATCCTTAAAAAGTTCCCTTAGGTCTTGAACTTTGGCTTTACGGTGGAAGGAAACCACGGTTTATACACGGCATGTTATACCAAAAAACAAGCAAATTAACAAGCAAAGTAACAAGAAAACTCTGAGAATTTTTAAACACCATCATTACCACTTTATTTATAAAAATCGATCATTCAGACGATTCGATGAAGCGTTACACTGTATCTCTTTCTTTTGTCATCTCATGAACGCGTGAATTTGATGTGTACGTTTCCCCAAACAACCAGCTTCCTACCCACGCAAGACAAAGATAAAGTATCAAATGAACTGAACACCCCTCAGATCACTGCTGACTGATAATTTAAAGTATCCACGGTCAGAAATTTCTCAAGAGACCTATCGTTTCTTTCTCATATCAATTTGGTATTAGCTTGGGGGGACATTCTAATACTTCTTATGGAACTTTAAGCGCGTCAAAGATTTCATAAGGCAATCTTTCAAACTAAATTTGGGTTGACATCTTTAAGAACGAGTAGTGTTTTACGTGTTGCTGTTATTGCTATCTCGTGATCTCTGTCTCCTTTAGGGGAAGTCCCTGGTTGTTTGTACAACGCCCCTATGACAATTTCCGCGGTTATGATATGAAAAACAAACGCAGCTGCCATTACTTATGAGAGTTGCCAAATTATTTTGAGAGCTTCGTCAGATTCAGTATCATTGACTGTCCCAGAGAATGCGTACTGCACTGGTAGAAATTGAAACAGAAAATTTACTGATAGCTATACACTGATAAATAGTTAAGAAAGCCTTCTTGTCATTACATAAATGGCCATGGTAAAGCTTTTTCGTGAGTTTGGTGATAGCAGAAAAGGTAAAAGGAAAACAGCTTTGCTTTGTGGTAAGCTGGGAAAAAAGGGAGAAAATCAACGAAACAAAGAATGTGGTTTCAGTTTCTGCCGGAGTTCCAGTGTTCTTGCTTTTCCTGACAATATCCTCCAAAGAGTTCGAGAAGAAAAGTGGCTGCTCAAAAACCAATCGGTGCGGCGAAAAAGCGTTGATCTCTCCAAACTCGTTCTTTTGGACGTCGAAACAACCTTTCGCTCTACATTTCCTTCTAGCAACTTGCGATGTTTGCAACGTGGCGATCCCGAAAATCTTTGCGCAAACACAAGGATCCGATTACATTATGCTTCCGAGTATCATTATGTTTCCCGTGTTTAAGACTTTTAAGAGGCGATCTCTGTAAGAGCGGTCCAGGGCATTTCGCATCGGAAAAAA